GACAATTTGGGAAGAGGAGAAACCTCGATGCACATGGCCCGTCGAGGGTGGAGGGTTCTTTGTGTTCGCCGGCCGGCCGTTAAATTATTGAAACCGTTCTGCCTGCACGACCATGTTCCGGAAAACCCTCCGATAAACCTGAGCTCGTCCCATGCTAACAAAAAAGGGACGAAGGGACAATAGAGGACCCGCCGGAAAACGAACGATGAAGAAGGATCGTGGGCCGCCGACATCTTGACGCCAGCTTTCTAAAATAAATCCCTGAAGTGCCGAATGTTTCATTTGGTAAATCTTTAGAATTTAGAAAGTTAGATAGGGTGGACTTGGCTTTATCTGGCGAATGTTTATAATTAGATAAGTTAGATAGGATAGACGATGTTAAGTTATGGTTAATTTAGAACAATGATATTGTTATACTTTAACATTTAGTGGAAAACGAATGGAGGATTGTGGGGCGTAGAGACGATATCGGCAGTATTCTAAAATGAATCTCCCATGTACCCATTGTTTATAATTAGATATTATTATAATTAGATAAGTTAGTTAATGTTCAAATTGTAAGCCAAGTACATTGACCCGGCATGATCGCCGTGATGTGTGTATATGCTTATACATATGTGTCGAGCGCCTAAAAGTAACGATCTTGTACCTTGCCCGTGACAAGGACGTTATCGTTTCAAATGAAACACATACGAAATATAAACGAACAGTCGACAGTCGACAGTCGACAGTCGATTATATTACGTAACAGACTCCTTTGATTTTCGCATCCTTTCGGTCATTCTTACTGGATCAAATTGGAACAATAATATTGTTACGCTTCAACGTTATATTTACAGAGCACCAAAAGCAGCTGTTTCATATTAGTTNATCTTGTACCTTGCCCGTGACAAGGACGTTATCGTTTCAAATGAAACACATACGAAATATAAACGAACAGTCGACAGTCGACAGTCGACAGTCGATTATATTACGTAACAGACTCCTTTGATTTTCGCATCCTTTCGGTCATTCTTACTGGATCAAATTGGAACAATAATATTGTTACGCTTCAACGTTATATTTACAGAGCACCAAAAGCAGCTGTTTCATATTAGTTTATAAAAGCAACGATAAGACATTTATCCCGATTTTCAACGTGTGTTAACTGCAATATTTGCCGCAAGTAACACATACATACATCGAATAAGTTATTCATAAATGTATCTTTACAATCTGAATAATCATAAATTAAGAAATTAACGACCCGTCCATCTCGATAGGTTCCGTAAACCTCATAAAAAAGCAAAATTCAGCAAATTATAGTTGTTGACAATCGATAACTATAAGAACGCGCCGCGAGGGTCGAATAATCTATACAGAATAATCCTCGTCTATTTTTTTGCGACTTTGCTATATTGTATTGTCTGCAGATGAAGAATCTGAAACGAAAAATTGTCGCTCTCTTCTCGTTCTCGAAATATTAAAATTTATATTGTGGCGCGGGCGCCAATGTACGAGTCGTACGGTACTGGAAAATAAAAAACTTGTTCACACGTGCAGTTTGATACTCATTCGTTGGTAATTATATGTATAGATGAAAGCAGGCAATACATATAAACGTCGCTCGGCCTTAGCTTTCGAGATAATTTTAGGTTCGAGTTAGATTTCCGCTCGTCGCCACGTGGAGGGTCGCATGCGGCACGAAGCAAGCGCGACGCCATGTTAGTTTCTAATAGAATATTTCGGAAATCAAGACCGAGCGGCAGTTGTATGTACGAATGAAAGTTGTTGAAATTGTCAAGTTCTACAACAAATTAAAAAATCGTCGAACTCGGAAGTGGCTACCATTATCTATACGATGGCGCCCACGCTATGCATACAAAATTCATATCTGAAAAATCGAAAAGAGAGCGACAATTTAATCTTTCAGATTCTCAATCCACGCATCAAAATGTACGATATAACAAAGGTGCAAAGTAAATAGTGAGGAAAACGTCCGTCCGAACAATTACCGTAATCCGTAGATACTTGAACATTGAAAAGGCAAGCGAAATAAATTAGAATTTAATCGTAAATTCTCCTAAGAATAAATTTGGTCAGCAAGCTATAATATTCGTCGTTTCCCACAGCGAGGTAAATACGACTCGCGCCATTCTTTATGCTGCGTTTACTTTAAACGCGAGAGCGATCAACGACCATGCTGCAGAGATTGCTCGGTCGTTGAGTGCCGCCGACGCCGGTGTCAATCGTTTCCTCTATTTACTCGAGAATAGCTTTCTCGTTGCTCCTCGAGCAACGACGGAAACGGAGTCGCCGAGTATTTATTTATTTTCTTTTTTTATAGGAGAAAACCCGTTGGCAGAGCACGGAGCATAAATCATGTCGAGCCGTGGTATGTAAACTTCTTTAAGCTTAAAGAAGAGGGTAGAGATAACGATCGACAAGAAAATTCCAAAGACACACGATACAACGATAGTTCCACGGAGCGATAGGCCTAAAATAAACTGCCTAAAAAGATCCGACCGATGTATCGGCCTTATTTGCATTAACGATCATTCGATTACCGGCATTCGATAGCCGCGAAGGATTCTCTGTTTCCCGAGAGTTCGAAAAATACCGCGATGTTTTAGAAAACAGTATTTGCGCGAAGCATATCGCATAAATTCCTCGCAGAGGACCGCCTTCGAGCGAGCCGGTCCGAGAAAAGCAGCAAGTTGTTACAATGTAAACATCTCGGCGTCTAAGTCAATGGTAGTTTGCCGAATATGTACGCGTGTACGCTGCTCGAGGATAAAGAAAAACCGTGATGGGAACGCGTTGCCTTAGAGAGTAAAGTGCACCACCGTTCGAGGGCGAGGAAAACTATTTAAGAATTCCTGTTGGAACGTGGGTCCCCTAGGTCGCCGGATCCCGCCGCGTCCACGTGATCGCTACGAGGATTCCTGGTCTGGTTCGTTTCGACCGCACTTCCCCTCGGATTGCGGCGAGGGGGTGCGGGAAGAAGGAGCCGGAGAGAGTAGTCACGCGAGAGCGTGCGAGAGGGGAAACGGATCGCGAGAGGGAGCGAGATAGGTCGATGAAGGGGAGGGAAACGCGGAGGATGCGCAAAATCGGAGTTCCCGGCTGGCGGAACGAGGTCCTTCGGGAATACCGCGTACATACATACGTACTTACGCGCCGGTAATTTGTACTTACGTTCCGAGTTACGATCGTGGGCTACGCTTCGACTCGGATCGACGTCTTCATCCCGGGGAAACGATATCGTGAGTCCGATTGTTACGGCGAGGCGGACCCGCGCGAGCTGCTCCTGCGTTCGAAGAACGAGGAAACTTCCGTGGGACGCCACGTGGCTGCGCGTTCTCTCACGTTAACACGCTGATTGGCATCGCGACCGTTGCACCATCGACAGGTCGTTGTTCCTGGCAGTGGCGCCAGCCAGCGCAGCTAATCCCGAAGAGGAGTCCCGTGGAGGCTCTTTCTCTCTCCCGTCAGCCGATCAGCGTCCGCTCCGCGTCCCGAAACATGAATGGAATGCTTCCCCTGGCGGCCGATGTACGCGAGAGACGACGGCTCTGGAATGGAATGGGCCGGGAGAGTCTCCGAGCCAGGGCCGGAACATTATCTCCGGAGCCCTTCGAAGGGCGACCGGCTGACACTTTGCCGAGGGGCGCCCGTGGAGTCGCCGGGGCACACGCGGTCCCTTTTCTCGTAATTTTCGAGGATCTCGGCTTCAAAATTTCCCTTGTAATGTCTCC